TATATATATATATATATATATATATATATATATATATATATATATATATTTTATATACGTATGCCACACATCTATTAGACATCAATAATATGCCACTATATATATATTTTACGCACATTGTTTATACCTCGAAGAAATATCTATTAGCTGTAAATTGTACATTATTCCATACACATTTTATACATGTATTTTATATGTATTATGGATTTGTGCTTATATACGTATATTATTTACATACGTACATTACATTTACATATATTATACATATAGATAACATCTTCAATAAACATAGATGTTCCATAGATTTATAGATTTATTATATACGTCTATGAGATATTTTGTTCTATGTGGGTATCGGTGAATGCCGCTTCAATAACGGCTCTTAATGATGCGACGTTTGGATGTCTGGACTTGTTCGTGACCCTTTCAACTACGCTCTATACATAGAAGTCCAAAGGATTCAAATCTGGACTGTTAAGGAATACAAAAGCAGGTTGCAGCGTTCGAGAGCGGTGCACTTGGACACGGTGCATTTGGACACAGCCAATCACAGCACCGTGTGATTAGAGATATTTGTAGGGTCCCTTGGAACTGCGACTTGTGATTGGACTGTGTCCAATTGCCCCGTGTCCAACTGATATACACCCGCAGCGTTCAACTCTTGTCCTGACCAACTCTTGTCCTGACCAACTTTTGTCCTGACGTCTTCGGAAAGCATCTTTTTACTTTAATTGTGTAAGACATGTAGCGGAGGTCCTCCTCGCATTCGACGCATAGTTTTCTTGCTCACACCAACAACCGACAACAATTTTCGGATCGACTGCCCTGGATCCTCAAAAATCAGCTCCTGAGCCCGTTGAATGATGTCGGGCGTCCTGACAACGTGCTCCTTCGAATGGGTTTTCCTTGCCGGTGTTGCAAAACCTTTGTTGGACTTCTCCGACTCATTGTACTTTGCGATGACACAGTTGATCTCGGGTACCCGAAAAACCGAATGATTTCTGTCGCCGAGCGCCCAGCGCGAACACTTTTAATAATCGCGGCTCTTCGGTTATACTCCGCACTTGGTTTCAACATTGCGACTGTTTCGAGGTTATGTACATGCGATGGTTTAGTGCGTCAAGCTATTTGAACGCTAATCGCGATATCTACCAATGGTATAGAACGGCGAAAATTTCAAATTAAATTTTATCCGGATTTTGGCGCCGCACCCTGTATATTGTTGGATATGCTCATATCTGATCACTTCGCATTCATATGTACAATAGGATTTGATGGTATCTGATTCGATATAATTTGATTTATTTCAACAGATTAGATACTATTCTTTTAGAAGTAACCCAGATAGCTACACCTGAACGAGTAAATTTCGCGCAAAATTTGCTATCAAGTTTTTATGGCTAATGGACAACAAATTTGATGCAGAATCTATCCTTGGTAAAAAAGTTGATAGAGGACGATAGAATAAAATTCTATCGTTCTATCGTTTTCTATCATTTTGAATATGGATTTTGGTTCGTGAATTCACAAATTTGAATAGTATTCTATTGTATACGATAGAATACAATAGATAGTGATCGAATTTTTATCGTTAGTTTCCTATAAAATACGAAATCGTTATAACTAAATAAAATACGATAAAATACGATAGAATTTATATCTGAACTAGCGTGCGAGAACGATGCAGCTTAAAGAAAACGATTCAAATTGATAGCGCTATAAATTCTTTTGTCAAACTGCTACCAAATATGTATCAAAGCTAGCTGTCTGATAACTTGTAGCAAATTTGCGCCCAATTTGTAATTTATTTTATAATATTCTCTATTATATAGAGTTTGACGTAAGCTGTATCGATAACAAAAAATGCATAAAACATTAAATTGGAAGGAATGGTCCAAGTCATTTTGTAAATAACCACATAAACTTTAGAGATATTAAATAAAATAGATAGGCGAATTAACGCGCGTATTTGCTAGATACGTTATAATATATTGTGAACACTATAAGTACACTTTATATAAGCATAAATTGTAAGAACATCGTTGGAGTCATTGGAGTCACCGCGTGCGCGCTCAATCGTCAGATTAAGCAACATTTTAACTCAGTCAGGATATGGATGAGTGACCGGAATACCGCTTCGAATTCGAAATTATCGAGGAAGGATTCGCGAAAGTTGTAGAGAGTGTTTGACAATCTTCGGTTCCTAGCAGTTATGAGACATGAGAAAATTAGAAATTAGTTTTTTTTTATAGCTACGCGGAAAACTTTCAAGCGAACATTTTTACATGATAACAAGGTTTGTGCAACGTTGATTCAATGTTTCTCAATGTTATTGTAATATTGACATCGTTGCTCTTCAACATTTTTTCAATATTGATACAACTTTACTGTTCTGTATGAGATGTGATTCAAACCTGATTATTACTCTTCTTATATCTACTATATAGGAAGCGTAATAATTAGATATGTATCATATATAACATTATATCTGATTATATATGAAATCTAGATCTGATCAGATCTTGATAAAATCCATATCTGGCTTTTTGCTGAACTTTTTTTTCAGGCTAATATCGTTATTAATAATGTTTTTAAAAATTTTCAAGTTAGTGTGCTTACTATTGAGTTTGTATGCTTCTTTTTTAAGTAATATACCTATGTTAACTATTCCTATGTTCCCTTTTTTTCTGATTGATATTACCACCCTCTCCTTCCTCTTCCGGCCATCTCTCCCTTCTCCATACCCTTCCACACGTCTTCCATGCCCAATTATCCACTGCCCTCCCTCCATATTTCCATACCTCATTTGGAATCTCATCAAGCTCCATCGCCTTTCCATCTTTCAGCTTTTTCATTATCTCCTTTATCTCTTCCTCTTCTTCTACTTTCCTTCTTCCTCTCACCACCTTTTCCTGCACTCCTCCCATCACTCTCATGAAATATTCCTTCCAGTTCTCAACTTCAATTTCTTTATTTACTTCTTCCTTCTTTACTCTCTCTCTCTCTCTCTCTCTCTCTCTCTCTCTCTCTCTTCATCGAGCCGCGATACATTTCTCTCTTCGCCGCGATCACTTAAGGTGATGACAAATTGAGAACCCCGGGTGGAACACCTGAATACTTAATCAACGGATAAAATTAACATTAATAAAACGACTGTCTGTGGCCGATCCACATCTTATCCGAGGACAAACACGGTACAAACGCTAGAACCACGTGATATACGCCTCACGACGAGACCACAGTGAGAAATACAGCAGTGTTCGTCAGTTTTTCACGTCGTTTCTCATCGGTGCGTCGATGGACGACACCAGGATCAACGACGAAGTGCCGTTCACGTTGAACCGAGTAACGACCAGGATGGAGCGGAATTCAGAGGAGTATCGCGGCGAACCGCTGAAGAACGAGGTATGATTTATTTGACGTGATCACGTCACTAAGAGAGAATTGACACCTTGACAGAAAGGTAAAAAGGTAGAAGTCAATCAGAACTTGCGTTGCTAGAAAAGCAGAAATTGTTAACTGTTTCCTGTAATTGATTTTTAATCTTAGAGCCATCGATACTACTTTTGTATAACAAATACAAAAAATCACTATAATTTTAGTTAAATCAACTATTTTTTCTCCTAGTGCAAACTCATTGAAACACTTGTGTTTCAGTCGGAAAACGAGAGCAACGACGAGGACTACACGCGTTCGCCGGTATTGCTCGACCTCGACGAAAACACTAAGCAGCAGCAGCAGAAGGCCGCACGTCGGGAAGCGAATTCGCCGAATACTGTACCCGCGGTGCGGGATCGACGTTTGCAGGATCAACTGACTCCGTCAGGTAGGTCTTCGACAAGATATGCGTCAAAATATGGAAGGGAAAAAAATTATCCGCGCTCGATACGTGTCAATTAAACACAATCGCTGTGACGCGCGAACGTCTCCATATATAATCAATCCTTTCAGTTATTGTCCTTTTTCATTTGTTTTGTGAGTTTGATATGTAAGGGCTATCGCACACAAATTGACATAACTGCATATGCATAGCATAAGA